CTTCGAAGTGTTTAGGGTGTTGCGGGAGTTGAGTAGTTCCAGGACGGGAGTAGAAAGGAGACAATCCGCCTCAATCCATCGCGACAGGTGTTCTGTCATCGCCACATGCGACCGGCCGGCTACCCTGGCTCAGGGATGCACCAATAGCGGTGTCGGACGCATCAGTTTCAACAACGAGAGGAATATTGTATTCGACAGTAACCACCATCGCATTTTCTAGTTCGTGTTTAAGGTTCTCAAATGCTGTTCGGGCATTCTCCGGAAGCGGAAATATTTTGTTTTTAACCAATGGATGAATTTTGTCGGAACACGCCGGTATCCACTGCTGCGATTTCCCGTTCTCTGGAAGTGGGAGTTCTCTTATGGGGCGCATGCGTTCTGGGTCAGGTCTTATAATACCTTTGGAGACCTTGTAACCTAAGAGAGTAATCTCTTCAGTTGCGAAGCTGCTTTTTGTATCGTTCAAAGTAATATTGTATGTTTTTGCTGACCACCGAATGGAATTTCGACTTTATCATGTAACCCCAGAAAGTCATGTCCGAGAAGGACGTCTGCACAAAGGTTCGGTAATACACAAAGTCTGAAACGTTCGTATATAGCATCCTTGTACTGAATGGACACAAGGCAATAACCTTTGGTGGAACATGAATGTATCGTCGAGGCCATTGTTATCACAGCGCCGTACGGAAATAACTCCCAGTTATGAGTTTGCAGGATTGATGAGGAAACGAAACTTCTGCAGCTGGCGATACCAATAAGAGCTCGGACAACAACGCCGTTGACCAAAATATCTGTTGTAGTTTTGGATAGGCAATTGGGAGCAGCAGCACAAAATAGCGAGGAGATTGAGGTGTCTTGAGCTGAACCCGCGCGATATTTCGAGGCTTTGGACCTACAGACACGTTGAAAATGTCCAATTTTTCCACAACTCTTGCACACTGATTCTTTAGCGGGACACTTATAACGAGGGTGCTTGGGGTTGCCACAAAAGTAACATGTTTGTTTTGTAGCGGCAGAAACTGTTGTTTCGGAATTCACAATGGGTAAAGGAGTAGATACCGAACAAGTAACGGGTTGTCTGTATACGTATGATTGTGGCTGTTTTTGTGCAAGTTCGAGAGCTCGTGCGGCTTCATGGACTTTGTCAAGGTCCAATTCATGCCACGTTAGCAGTTTCTCCCGAATGGTATTCGACTGCAATCCGGCTATCAGAGCATCCCGAACTGCTTCGTTTGTATGTTCCACAGCAGATACTGCTTTTAATCCACAATCTCTAGCAAGTGACTTCAGCTTTTGAGCGAACTGGTCGACATCTTGACCAGGTTCTTGTTTGTATGTGGTTAAAAGAGGACGTGCATACACGATATTTTTCGGGCGAATGTGAAGTTTTTCCAGCAAGGTTATCGCAGAATCGTAGTCGCTGCATTCTGCAATGAAGTCATACACTGTATGGTCGATGTGACGAATGAGAGTTTCCAATTTATTTAGACCTTCGGGTTTGATTGAGTTAATGTAAGCTTTGAAAGTACGGAACCAATGAGTCCATCGTTTCATGCCATCTGATGAGTGAGGATCAGCATCAAAAACCGTAGGTCGGAGAATAGGATCCATTTCGTTTTTATTAGACGATTAAATTGTTCCGAGAGTCGAGTAGTTCCAGGACGGGATTAGAAAGGAGGCAGAATAGGAAGACATAATGTACGCTTTAGTCGTCTAATAACTGTAGTACATGAGCTGAAAATAGAGTGAGAATCACGAGTTAATGGTCTATGGAAATGTATGGTTTTATATAGTCATGACACCGTCTTGCTGTATGCAGCGAGTAAGGCGACCCGGCTGATGGCACCACGCAACAGCCGATGTGGCATGAGAATGTTGTTGTGTATATCTCTACTCAAGCGTCATCCTGCTCCTGGATTTGACGACCTTCCACCTGCTCTATTCAAGGATGTTGGTCAATTTCTCATCGTCATTATCTAAAGCCGGAAATCAGCGTTCAACGCAAGGCAAAGCAAGTCGGTTCGTCAACTCCAGTGGGTTTCAGTAGCTTAATAATATCAAGCTGATCCAACTGGAGGCTACCGGAAACAGTCACCTAATGATGAAATTTGCCTGGAGGATGAATTAGAGATAGCAAAAGAACCTACGTTATCACTTTTAGGACTGTTAGTCGAAGTCATCCAAATAGACCAAATAAACGCTCGATAGCTTCAATATCAACTTATTGCCGCCAGAATAGCTATACCAGTAACTGGCGACGGCAATGTCGAATCATCATCACAATGGACGGCACGACATAACTGTTCAGCACTGATGCTTAGCCGCCGTACAACCCGGATTTACTTAAAAGCCTTGTGAAGAAAATAATAAAAGTGAACGGAGGAATGGACGTAGTACTAGCTTGATACACTCATATCGAGGTGCATACACCTCCAGACACTCATTCGCTCAATCTTGCAGCGTCTCTAACAATGCGCAATGGAGATCACTCGGCCCCCATCCTGGAAGGTGAGTCTCACCGACAACAACCAGACGTTTCGTCGTGTCTTTCATACCTCCCTGCCAGGTCAAGGGTTAGCCATCTCTCTATGTCCACCGCTCTGAATTTGTCACGGAAAATAGCAGTCCTAACCAACGGAGCTGTTAGTAATGAACACATTCTTCAATGAAAGTGTCCGTTGCACAACTGAAAACTCGTTTTCTAATTGCCTGATTGCAGATTTGTTGACACATGAGCTATGATCATGAAGACGTCTCAGTTCCGCTGCTCGGACAGGCCAAGTCTCACAGCTGTACAACAAGACAGTCCATATCATAGCCTGATACACACGTCCTTTTAGATTCAGGGATATACCGCATTGATGCCATGGGTGTCTCGAAATTATCAAACGCTACCCGGGTCCTGGAGATTCTCGCTTTGACCTCATCTGTCACACTACAATCAGAACTATTACAACTTACAAGATACCTAGAACACTCTGCGACTTCCAGTGCCTCTCTCCGGATTGTAAGCGGCGTGTTTAGTGAATGCATGACGAGGAGCATGACCTTACTCTTCGTGGGTGCAAAGTGCATAGCAAAGGGCAGGATGACTTGTCAGTTCATCCAAAAACACATGCGCCTTCTCCTCCTCTTCGAAGACGAGAACGATGTTGTCTGCACATTCTAAATCGGCAAGGTTTTCGTCATAGGCTATTTGAACTCTGGGGTTTAAGAGACTTTCCAGCGTTCATCTCATGATTTTTCATCTATCACGAAATTCAATGGGTACAGAGAGGTAAACACTCATGACGGACATTGATTTGTGTACCGAAGCACTTTGAGAGCTCGTTGTATACTCTGATACGCCTGGAGGTCTGAGAATGCGAAGAGCTTATTATGTTCACGAACCTTTGGGGCATTCCTTGGTGGGCGTGTCAAGAAAAACAGACCGGTCAACCGAGGTAAATACGCACTGGAAATCTAGTAATACTAGAACTGTGAGTCGGTTATATCTATGGCGTTGTTTTAGCACCCGATAGAGTGTGAAGATTTGACCAACGCAACTCCTACCAGGCCGGAACCCCGCTTGCTGCTCTCGAGTCAGTGTTTAACGAGCCACCATAAAGCAAGGAAGCACAAGTATTGCCAGAAGTCTCTTTAAAAGTCTTCCTGTGGATACCATACTTACTACGATCCATTCTTTTGAAAATGAGCACTTCTCCGACTCTGCTCTGGGACGATCTCCTTTTCTTAAATGCAGGCAAGCGCTGACTGAGGATTTCATCCCTATCTTTGAACAATGCGGGTGGGAGGTTATCTGAACCAGAAGGTCGGTGGGTTCTACGTCAACTCTGGACTCCAGCTGAGTGGCAGCTGGTGGCCACGATAGCTGTTTTTCGAAGTATTCAGTCCTGGAAGAAACCGTCCGAGAAAACTGGGGTAGGTTGTTAATCGTGCCCATTTTCATGAGGCATACTCGCGGTGAATATAGTAACCACACGGGTGTTATTTTGGCTCCCACTTTATCAAGGCTTCTGATGTCACTGATTCTTCGTTGGCTTACGGCAGCACGCGAATCTTTGACCCCAAAGAATCAAGCGGGATTTCTAAAGGGCAGAGGCTTCGAGGATATGTCCACACTCCGTAAGATATTAAAGCAATGCGGTATGTGCAACGACTTACAATCTTGCTCTTCTTTGACTTTAGGGACGGATCGATTCCTGTAATCAGTTAGTTCCCCTAATCACAACTTATCATCAGTTGCCACAGAAATTTGTGAACATAACCCGGTCCGTATCTTTACATAATTCTGAGCCTATGGAAGTGTATGATGAACTCTCTAAAAGCTTACTTAAAAAAGTGGTGTCCAACTAGAATGTTCACTTGTCCACTTGTTCAGCTTCACCACTGACGAAATAATAAGGCGAACACTGGAGGGTCTTCAAAACCCTGGCTTTCAAATCGTTGCTGGTAAGAACATTGTCCATCTGCAGTACGCAGACGACATCGTCGTCATTTGTGAAGCCGAAACTTACACCCTGTTGAATAGACTGAACACCATCATACCATCGTTCGACATCCGCCTTGCACCTTCAAAGTATAAAGTCCTGCTTCGCAACGTGCAGTCTCAGACATACCCCTTTACTCGCGGTGAATATAGTAACCACACGGGTGTTATTTTGGCTCCCACTTTATCAAGGCTTCTGATGTCACTGATTCTTCGTTGGCTTACGGCAGCACGCGAATCTTTGACCCCAAAGAATCAAGCGGGATTTCTAAAGGGCAGAGGCTTCGAGGATATGTCCACACTCCGTAAGATATTAAAGCAATGCGGTATGTGCAACGACTTACAATCTTGCTCTTCTTTGACTTTAGGGACGGATCGATTCCTGTAATCAGTTAGTTCCCCTAATCACAACTTATCATCAGTTGCCACAGAAATTTGTGAACATAACCCGGTCCGTATCTTTACATAATTCTGAGCCTATGGAAGTGTATGATGAACTCTCTAAAAGCTTACTTAAAAAAGTGGTGTCCAACTAGAATGTTCACTTGTCCACTTGTTCAGCTTCACCACTGACGAAATAATAAGGCGAACACTGGAGGGTCTTCAAAACCCTGGCTTTCAAATCGTTGCTGGTAAGAACATTGTCCATCTGCAGTACGCAGACGACATCGTCGTCATTTGTGAAGCCGAAACTTACACCCTGTTGAATAGACTGAACACCATCATACCATCGTTCGACATCCGCCTTGCACCTTCAAAGTATAAAGTCCTGCTTCGCAACGTGCAGTCTCAGAACATACCCCTTACAATTCAAGGAGAATCATTGGTGGTTATAGAGAATTTCACCTACCTCGGTGGTTGTATCAGCTCAGACATCAATATGTTTCATGAATATCAGAGGACCGAATCCTGTCTGCTGATTGAGGTCACTTGTATTGTTAAAACGGCATTCCATCGGGTCTCAGGGATCGCTTGTTCCAAGCTACAATAAGGGCTGCGTTGTTGTATGCTTACGACACATGACCTGTATGGTCAGATGGTGTGGGGCGTCTTCATGTGTTTGACTACCGATGCCTCAGAAGCGTGTCCTTTTTCGAATGACGTCGATAAATTTGTAACGAAGTGATTAGAAAGCTAGTATTTGGTTGTGCAGCAGGTATTTCAGTTGCGGAAAATACCAAGTACCATCAACCACTGTGATCGGCTAGGTGCTACGAATACCGAAACATATCCTTTCGGGACACTGGGTCCATTCCGTTGATGCTGTTTATTCTGATGCTATTTGAAAGTGCAAGCGCCTGGTTTTATGTGGTAGGTAGGCGCCATTATTTACGGTAATGTTTCCACGATGGACCAACATTTGGGGAAAATAATCCTTGCCTCGATTGAATTGTGAGACGTTGCGCAACAATTCAATGAGGATGGCTGTGAAACTGTGCCGTGGGAATCCATGAGAAAATTGAAGGTGTGTTTGACACGTGAAAGGGCTAAATTAATACACGGAAGTGGAACTATAGAAGGATATTCGGACAGAACGACCATTCGGGGCAGTTGGTTTAAAAGTGGACCCTACTGGACGCCCTAAGCATGCTTGTCATGGGAGCTAAATATGGAGGGGGAGGGAGGCTCATGGTAGTAGAATTACGCAACAACACTAGATAGTCTTACACCATGTCCTACTCACCACGAATGAAAATACCCTATTTTTATTACTTTCCTTTTGTTTCTCTGTTTCTTATGTCACCTCGCCAGCGCATAACAGGTATTCCCGAAAACGAAGTCCTCGAAGTAGAAGATCCGCTGCTGGGAGAAATTCCGCGTGAACCGGTAGTTGACGAGCCACCGATACCTGAAGGCTTGGGTCTGAACTCAGACTCCGACGACATCGACGTGACTTCGGATCTGGAAGATAATTTTGTCGAACTCGCAGGAGGATCTGCAGTAAAAGATAAAAAGAGTGGCGATGAAGCGTCCGAAGAAGAAGACGAACAGCCGGAGAACCTCCCAGCATTGACTGATATGTTTCCACAAAACAAAGTCATAATGATGGAGCGATTCTTGTACGGTGCTAATGAAAGGCACCGTAACAGTGGGTCGGATTCCAGTGGCGATGATGAAGCATTTGGAAATCCGGATGACGCGACCGTGCTAAACCGGCAATTTGAAAAGGTAGGTGTCTCATATCGTTTAAGTAATCGCTGTATCTCAGCTTCTACTCCGCTATAGGAGTCGCGGCGGTTCAGCCAGTCAGTCGCAGGTGACGGGAACTTCATTGATGAGCGAAGGTTTGCAGTATGCTCTTAGTCGAGACACCAGGACACTGCATCATCAGTAAGTTTTTCTTACATTCTTCCTGTAAGGGAAGCCAATCTGTGCTGAAAAGCTGAGGAGCACTTTATAGTTGTTTCATCTTTGTTGGGCATACTGAGCAGTGCATATCTCACGAAACTCCAGAGTTTCAAACTCTCAACCTCCCGGTCAGTAGTTTAAATTCTTAACCGTTCGGCTACGAACTGCTGATCAACAGTGTGACTAATGCGTACTTAGGCAGGATATGGCGCCACTCATCTTTCAGTCGCCGGATCCACATCACGTAATCGCATGCGATGACTGGCTGCCGAGCAGCGAATTGTCAAATGAAACTTTCAGTCATCGGGTGAATTTTATTCTTCCGAGCTACTTGGTACCCTTAGGAGATTTGGAAATTTTAACGTAGATTCTGTCCGGTAAGTGGAGTCAACCTATACTGAAAGGCTCAGAAGCACTGTACAGCTGTTTCATCCTTATTTGGCATCCTCAGCGGTGCGCACCTCCCGAGAGTTTTGAACCGGGGACCACAACACGTGTGACTACGTGATGTGGATCACGTGATTGAAAGTTCAGAGGCGCCATATTCTACCTAGATGCGAGTTAATCACCCTGTTGTTTGGCCTCTCGTAGCCGAGGCTTCAGGGAAATCCGACCAAAGTTCGTGGAAAGAGAGGGAACGAAATTTGGTGCAATTTAATACAGTTTCCATTCGGCCAAGCTAAACCGGATTTTGAAAACAAGCAAATAGAACTGCGAGAACTCGCTGGTTGCTGTCTGTGGACCTGGTGTACTCTTGGTCTGTCGTTTTCTCCCCCGTGACGTGCGCATCTCACGAAGAGGGAGTGTCGACATGTCTGGATTTCGAAATTCACCTGATCTTGATAACACTAGCTCATATCCAACCTAACCTAAGTACACGGTCGAACGGAGGCTCTATTAAGACCATGCACTCTGCTGCGACTTTTTTCTGTGTATGTCTAAGGGCGATTTCACCACGTAACTTATTGCCTTTTGTGCTCCTACGTTGCAGCGCACAAAAGTCCGGTCAAATTGCATCAGAAAATTAGGTTTTACCGTTGGTTCTTTTATCCTACGCTCTAAAATAGCAAGATAGTCACGTATTGATAGATACGACACACCACAGTCTTAGGTTTTCTTTTTTTTAAAGCAATTTCTGACTGACAGTAAAATGATCAGTGCTGTGTACCACTAGTGTCATGGCACTTGATAGTTCTTGTGTGTTGGATATCGTATTTCATTGACGGGTTGCCGTCTCCATATCATAGGCACAAAAAACTGGACGAAGTGGAAGTCCTAGATGATGAAGTACGCCAGAAAACGATTTGTCGAAACAACCAGCTTCAAGAGAACATCCCACAGCTTACAAGTTCCGACGAATCCGATGACAAAGTCTCTGGAACACCGCCAGACATTATGTCGGTGCAAAGTAAGCATCATATGTTGCTTTCCGCGATTTTGTTTTTGGGGTGATATTTGCTTTTTCGATTGATAAACCGTAATGTTAAGGAACCTCAGTGGTGGTTTTTCCCTCGGCTTCCAAAAATGTTTGCATTGATTTTAGGTGCAATTATGTACTTTCATATTTCAGTAGCAACAGTCTACAGTCGCACTTTGTGCTTATGAGTTGTATATCCACAAGTAAACGGAGAATTCGGTGGATGAGATAAAAAAAATCGTTCCGCTGTAGCACCCTCCCGGCGCCCAACTACCATGCCAGTAGAAGAAAACACGAGGGCTGAGATACTGTCAGGTTGCCTAGTTCTAGACAGGTGACGTCGAGAGGCAGAGACCGGGTTCGAATGACGGACCTTCCGGTCAGTAAATTTACGCTCTAACCACTGAACTACCTCGGTGAATGAGACATAACTTTCATCGGTCATGTGCTGTCTGTGTACTAACGATCACTGATTTATGGTTTACTAGAGTAGCTATATTGTCCATGTGAAAATCATCGGGGCACTAGGCTGGTAGCTGTGCTCTCTTGTCTCATCCCTCGAAGGCCGACTGAACACAAGCAGAGGCAGGTCCGTGAAAATCACGCTGGGTTCCGTCTTGCAGGAGTGTGCATCGATCACATTTTCTCCCTCTGTCAAGGGTCGCTGTCCGCAGTGCATTCTCTGTTCTTATGTGGGTCAGAAGCCTAGTCGCTGCTAGCTGAGGATTTTAAAAAGGTTTCAGTGTTTGACCATCGTTCTCCTCGGAGTATCGCCTGAGTCTGGTGGGAACATTCGGTCAGTAATGTTGGAGTATCTTGGATGGTAAAGGAAAAAATAACTCGTCCACGATAGGTGAACTGACTACACTCTATGAGTTGCACTGGCCTAGTTGCTAGCTCCGTATGCCAGTCGGAAAGTCTGGGTGCTGTCCGTGCTACTCGCCTTCCAGGATGAGCACCACGTGACCCCCACTGCGCCTGGTTGGAGATGCTGCAAAATATGGCTACTCATCGATGTCAGTGGCGTTTTTTGTCCGTTTCTACCCAGATTACCTGAATAAGTGTCTGGAGGTGTGGGGACCTCAGAATGATTGTGGTAAGCTAGCACCAAGTCACTTCCCCGTCCACTTTCTATTTTTCTTCACCATAACGCTTTCAAATAAGTCACGGTAGCGAAAGCATTACTGTTGAACACTGATGTTGTGCTGTCGATGACAATGATGAGATGCCAGACGACCCATTTCCTCGGACAGCCCTTTTCGCAATCACAGGAGCCAGGGGAGGTCAAATAATGACTTAGCAGTCAAGTGTAAAAGCCGGTGCCGACAAACTCAACTTTGCCGATCATTGCCGTCTCCATGGGTCGGGACGACGAGACCAGACACATCCATGGTCAGAAGAATGACAGCGGGCCTCAGTCGCGCTCTCAATGGCGTGCATGCATCCAAGCCGTTGTCTAGTGGATTGTTTCCTCTCCCGATCTCCTCGAAAGTACGTGGATGAGACGGCTCAGTGGTTAGGGCGCGAATTTACTGGCCGGAAGGTCCGTGGCTCGAATCCGACCTCTGCACCTCGACTTCTCCTGTCTGGACCTGGACAACCTGAAAGTATCCCAGCTCTCGTGCTTCCTTCTGGTGGCATGACAGTTAGGCACCGAAGGGGTGCTACAGCTGAACGATTTTATTTTTAATAACCACTACGAAGTGCATGCGGTTTTTCTACAGCTGAAGATGATGGTGCTCAGGATACGGACACTTTTTTGAGACACGAGTTACTTCACTCGTTTAACGCACACATCGCTGGATGCTGTGGTGGCCTGGTCATTTGCTACATTTTCCGAGTTATTGTCTACCGAGAAGAAAGTTGTTTTCCATCTCAAATCCAAAATGGCGCAGCCCTGGAGGTTATAAAAGTGTGAAGTAGCAGGCGAGATTGCTGGAGGTCTTGGTGCTGTCGATGCTGTTGTTTTTGTGTAAGGTTCTCTGTGTGACTATGTAAGGCGTGATGGCCTTTGTACTGTTAGTTTTCAATCAAATTGTGTGAAGATCTGCGCACTTAGGCTGTTCCTGGTCGGCTGACACTACGCCCGTTCATCTTGCTCGTTCCCGTTCTCTTTATTTTAGGCTCTTACACATAGCTGTACGGCACTTGAGCAGTCACGAGTTTCATACAATCTTATCTATCTCATCGTTCTTCGGCCTCACACTTTTATTGATCGATTTCCTCTGTTTTTCTCTAGGCGACCGCACTTCCATAAAACCAAACTTCAACCAACTGGCGATGCCGGTCAGTGCCAGAAAATCCCAGACATGTAACAGACAACCAAACATTGGTGACATGACCTCCTATGATCCTTACCCTGTTCCTCATCTTGATCCAACAGTCCTGACTAGAAAGAAAGACGAATCGCGGCAGGAGAAACATTTGCGAAAGTTGGCAGTCAAGCAACATCGAAGGGAACGTCGCAAAGTAAGAAAAGCAAATCAACAAAATTTCCATGCGGAACACGAACAGCGGTTGAAAACAAATGCACGAATGGTGACCATAAAATGATCAGAAATATATGTTTTCGTCCTCATTGTCTGCAAGTAACCTTGACACATATGATTTGAAGTTTTGATTTGTTTTCGCACTGGAATAAAATTCTTGATACTATTCAGGCTTTTTCTGTTAATGATACTGCCCTAGGTCTACGAGCGCTGTCGTTTCCAGGCCCGTTCAGTGAATGTCACCATATGTTTTAGATTGTAATGACAGCTCTTCGGTATTTGGGATGTTCTCAGTTCTTCAGGTGCCCTAATACGTATAATTGTAAAGTTTTGGTATGCTGATTACCGAACTCGTTTATATATATATATATATAAAATGTGGTTTTCAGTTCGGACTCGCCTAACTTACTCCACCACAAATAGTGTACTTCGGGCTTTCGAACTTCTACTTGATGCCGGCCTGGACGGATCATTTAAACAAATGAAACACCCAAGTGTCGGATAACGCCCAGTTGTACTGTTATTCGTTTTAAACGTCAAACGGTCCACTGTACGTCGTAGGTGTGCTTTTATACGTGTCTTCTGGACGTGAATTGATTTAACTTAGTGGACAATTTAGCGTAGTATTTTGTGACATGCTACACAGTGGTAGTGCCACTCATTGTCGAACTTCCAACTGTTACGTGTTAGAAACTACTCACACATTAATCTTGTTCTTAGTTCTCTTTCCGGTCTAGTAGCACAAAAACTAGTTGCAGATGGCCCAGCGCACAATCTGACGATAATTTAAGAACATGCAAGACTGACTCGATCGACAAGAGATTTTCCGCAACTTAACGAAGCCTAGGGGTGACAGCTATGGGCTATGGTTTCCTTAACTATGTGCAGATGACGTTGGAGACTCCATGCTTCTGTCAGTAGTACCCACTCTCCAGGAGAGGTCTTAGTATCCCCCAATGGTATTTTCCTCACAGCTGCACTGCACTTCCAGTGGATCCACCACACAAGCAATCGCTCGTGTATAGTGAGTGATAAAGACCTTAACCAGAACTCTTCCTCAAAACTTGTAGCTGCACCCAAGTCGCCATTCTATTCCTGATTTAAAGTGGTGCAAAGTCATCTGTTGTCATTCTCCTGATGGTGATGACTGCATCCCCCGCGATTGATTACCCAGTAGTTTGGTTTCCAAACGTCCCACTACAGAACACCCGGCCGGTTGATTCCGTCTTCCGTCCCTATTAGGGATTTCCTCATGGGATACCAAGTTTCCCAGCTGGGCGTGTACCCTGTCAGCAGGTGCGAGGAATATGAAACATCCAAGTCTTGCACCGTGTTAGTGAAAAGTCCGGTGCCTGTGAATCTTGACGACAGACGGTAGTACCCGTCAGTTCAACCGCGCTGTGTTCAAGTATTCAATAACCATGACTGTATGAAACTGTGACAAACTGGTTCTTTCTGATCATATCTCCGCATATCCCTACGGTCGATGTGTTGATGAAATTAGTTTTCACAGACGATTCGTGCTATCGGTTTCTCTCCAGATTGTCTGATTGAGCGGGAGGTGTAGGCACCTCGGAATGCTTGACATAGACCAGCACTAGGTCCCCCTCCCTCACCCACTCTCCTCTTTTCACTCCAGAGCTTTTAATGTGGTATTATATATATATATATATATATATATATAT